TCGAGCCTTTCTTTCCTTTGCCTGATCCGTCTTTTCCCTTCTTGCTTTTCTTCTTCTTTCCCCTATCCTCATCCGATTTGTCTGATTTCTTCTTCTTCTTTTCACCCTTTTTCTTCTGATCCTTTTTCTTCTGATCCTTTTTCTTCTGATCCTTCTTCTGTTTGCCTGATTTCTTCTTGTCTGTCTTTTCTGACGACGTACCTTTCTTCCTTTTATTTCTGAAAAACCGACGGATATATCCGTACGTCACTATCTGACGTTTGTCGTCGTCTACTGCATTCAGCTGAGATTTACTAGGACTTAAAATGATGTAAACTTGACCTTTTTTGATACATTTTGTCTGAACCATACATCAAAAACAAATAAAGAAACAAACAAACAAACAAATATCAAATAAACTCACAATTTTCTCCTGATCAGGCAGCAGCACGTCATCAACACCAAAAACAGGACAATGGGAACGGCAGCGGCAATTATCACATGGAGCATGTTGACTGAAAAAAGGTCATTTTTCACAACATAAGGCAAAACATGGTGACATGAAAACAACAAGAATTTTAGCTAATTTGATACAAAATACAGAAAGTACATATACGCATGTTGCCAGCAATTGCCGCACACCCACAAACGCCGACGAAAATAATGACCTATTCCAAAAGTACATCAAAATAGGGGTCTTTTCTTCTAGAATATTATATGATCTATGAAAATACTACGGTAAAAAAAACGTGCATCGATCATCTCACGCATAGTAGAAGGCATGACAACCCCGTGCAGCAAAGAGATCGTGAGTTACAGCTGCGAACGTGGACACGGTTCATTCGAATATTTTCGTTTGTGAATCCAGTTGAATTATGTGGCGAAACTTACCGGTACCAGCTCCCTCCACAACTGGAAGAAAGTGAATAGATAATCGTCAATGATTCGACTATGGAAAACAATTATTCATAAGCTACACGTCAAATTATAGCTGTTTAAGGTTTTACAATATTACTCCCGTGAATGTCCCTAAGGGGGAATTGCTATAACCAAGGACATCATATAATGTGCATGATTACTAGTATATAATGTCCTTGCTATAACATTAAGTTTTCTTGAAATTTCTGCTCGTTTAGTCACCTTTGATGATGACCATGGTCGTCAGCACTTTGGTTTTTCCTTTGTGTCCCCTGGCGACATATATTCCGGCATCCTCCTGGGTAACCCCCGTCACCTGGAGCATGTTTCCCGCCACCACGTGCGCGTGGCCTGTCGGGAAGAAAAAAAATCGTTAGCAGTTCAAGTTCAAGTTATGAATAGGAAGAGTTTCGATAATGTTGATCCACTGATTTACTTGCTTTCCGAATGATTTGCCAAAAAAATGGCTTTTCTTTTAAAGCTGCATTATGTAACATTAAGACGATACAAGCAAGTCAATTTTCTGGTCATTTCTTTACAAAGTAAATTGAATCAACCCAACTCCATTGCAAATAAGTGCCATTCAAGAAGTGTAGATAACAATAAATGACGCCTAGCGAATGTGTTTAAAAAGCTGGAAGCACAACTGCTGGCCATGTTCGTTTACATTCTAATGTGTGAGTGTGGGCAGTTTTAGTGACAACCGTAAATGTCAGAAATGTGAGATAATTGAACGAATATGTTGAAAGGTATAAGTAAATTACACGAAGATTTTTTAATTAAAATATTTTGATTTTTTTGGTGCAAAAACGTGACATAATGAGTTTACCAGTGGGTTTGGGAGGTTCTCCATCTTTCAGCCAGACCACGGCGCCATCTTTGTTGTCGTTGAGAACATATTCAGCAAGCGAGTCGATTGTGACGGTGGCTCCGGCGGGAACGTCCAGATCGTGCACCTCTACTGCACCTGGGGGAGACGGGGAAACATGAGAATGAGAATATATTAGCCCAAAAACAGTTGCTCAAGCAACTGGACATGGTTTTGTATCCAGTTGCTTGAGTAACTGTTTTTTTTTTTTTTGGCGTATCTTATTACCCGGATGTTTAACCTCAGTCACCGACGGATTGATAGATTTTACACATGTATATTAGCCAAATACAGAATCTGATAGATGTAAATACACTATAGACACACATGTACATGTATAAAACAGAAGGAGCTCGAGGATGGGTGGAAAACCCACCCATAAATAGCTAGGACCAGCCTAGGATACAAAACAAGCAACCGTTTTCCGTCACTAGCGTCAGCGACATCGTAATTTTGCCCCAGATATCAGTATGCTATAGGATAGGATTGATTCAATGTACTACTCTCGGTAAATTGAAACAATGACATGAATGAGGAGAAATTCCCCTCTGAAAATCCAGTTTTACATTAGTTCCCTAAAATTTCATTTCATGCTTATAAAATAGTTTTAAAAGTTATACATGTATAATGCGCCTTTTACAGTAAACCCCTGTTAATCTTATTCCACTCTGAAAATGCAGTTTTGCAGCAGCTCCCCAACATTGTATCGGATGCTTATAGAATAGTTCAATTTTTTGGGTGAAAAAAAATGTTATATAATGCGCCTTAAGGATTCACAGTAACCCCTGTTCAATTTTACCTACCCTCACAGTCCACTGTGCATACAGAGCTCTCCACCCCTGCCTCCTTACCCCCCTCGCAAGTCCCGGCCGCATCAGAACACTTCCTGGTCCTGGCCCGGACCCCCTTGCCGCAGGTTACCGAGCAGGGACCCCAGGGGGACCAGGCCCCCCATGATGACGCTGTAAGGGGGTGGGGGTGACAAGATAACGTACTAGTATATGCTTCAACCATTAGTACAGATGATAGCCGCGGGTTGGGTGGATATAAAGTCCGGTAACTGATCTACGTGAATGCGCATGCATTTTGTTATTCAACTTATAGGTACATTTTGCTGTGAACTCGTCAAAAACAAAGATACATTTTGCAATAGCCACATAACTCCGAATAAAGCTATACAGATATATATTTCATTTAACGGTAGCGTTCCGCATTGTAGTTATGACAGCACGTAAAAGTAGAACAGTTTGACACGAAGTTTTGATACCCCTGTTAATATCTCCGTGTAAAAGTTTACGATATCCTTAAAAGGAGGTGAATTGTTTATTGAAGATCATTTTAACGTTACCTGTGTCCCCAAATGATGTCGAGGATAGAAAAACCAGCCACACAAAAACAGCAGCCGGTGTGCGATAGTACATTTCTGGCGGACGGACCCAGAACAGCAGCGCTCAGAGGTGGCCTACATCTTTACTGTCTTCTCCAGCACGAAATCTTCTGAAACTGTTGCTAGGGACGTACCAAAAAGTTTTACGTGGGGGAGGAGGCAAATTTATAAACCAAGAAACACAATCGCGGTCGGCAGTGGGGAAAACTTCACTGACGTAATTCCTCAACGAAGAACTCCAGTCGGTTGTACAAATGTTGTGCGGAAAAGGAAGGAAAAACTGAAACAACTCTAGGCACCCCCCTCCCACGAACCAAGCGCTGACCTTTACTTCAGGTCATCCTTTGCGCGCGTTGTTCTAAAGAACACCTTAGAAAGTCACGTTCGAATGTTCGAACATAACAACAAGTTGGACAACAAACTGGAAACAAAGGTGTTGTCTTCCAGTATCAACCTAGAGAAATGATGAAAAGATATCACGTTAGACTCGCGACCGCTTTTTCCACCACCATGTACTGAATGGCGAGGTCGTGATTGATGATTCGGTGAGTTTCTTATTACTACATGTAGTAACTTATTGCCAGGTATGCCCGTTTGTTCATTATGCTTCACCTATTGTGTGTACTTTGACTTTATTTTTATGGGTTTTCTATGTTTCCTTTCCTCCAGCGGTCGTTTTAATACTGAGTTTTGTAACGCGTTAGAAACATTGCTGCAGTGCCACTTGTATGTTTTATTCCCATACCTTCGCGAATTGCAATGGTCAGGCCCTAAATAACTGTACTTCCTTTATTATGTACATGCGTGTAAATTTACATTCTTATAGTTGGTTTTTGTTTCATTGTTCCCGTCAACAATGCAAGCGGTTTATATCAATTTACTTATTTTGAAGCTCAATCTGACCTAATTTCAAAGGGCACGTCCTTCATTGTCTAGTGAGTCAACTAATTGCTTAAAATCTGGGGCGTTCCCCAACAAACTCTTGTGCGTCATAGTTTAAAAGCCTGGCGTTACCAGGGAACAGTTGAAAACAGGTCTATACAACGGTTGTGTACACATCCGCCTCCTTAGCTCAGGGGTTAGAGCACTGGTCTTGTAAACCAGGGGTCGTGAGTTCAAATCTCACAGGGGGCTAAGTTATTTTGACCCGGGTTCGTCTTTATTTTTGTATGATGGACAGGCACAGATTTTAACCACCGAGGTCAACTGAGTAACTGCGCTGGTTTACGTATTATTTGAACATTTTTTTCAGTTGCTGGAGTCGAAGATACACTTCTATCTGTCCCAAAATGTTACAGACAATGAAAATATAAATCGTAGGGGGTATACACAATTTTGCTATAGTGTCAGGTGATTTATCAAAGTATGTATTACTAGTAGTAGTATCACAAAAACTGCAACACAGGTAGTCCTTTGATGTAACAAACGCGAATTCTTTCACTTGGCATGGACTTATCTAGGATCAAGAGTACAAAAAAGTAGTCAGCCACCTGTGAGGTTCGAACTCACGACCCCTGGTTTACGAGACCAGTGCTCTCCCACTGAGCTAAGGTGGCTTCAGATGATATGAATTCTTTTTTACCGAGTTTTATCGTTGAAAATAACGTTAAAAGCACCAAGCGACCTTTTAGCAAAAACTTCCTTTCGGTGAACGCAGAACTTATAATTATTTCAACGGTTGATATTTCTTGAATACCAAAGAGTTTTTTTTATGGTAAAAACAGAATTAATCCAGGAAAATCCAAGGTTTATGATGATATAATGTTCTCTTCGCTTTCATAAATCAATATTTTTTCCGAAGGCCTTTCTGAATGACAACAGCTGTTGAAGCATCTATATTACATTGTGTAAAGTAGCGCACCGCTTGGTTCCCGTCGTCCTTAGTGCGCTCTTTTTTCGACGCCGAATAGTTCGTGAATTCACTATACTTTTAAGTTCAAACTGTTTGCCATACATTTTGTCCATCACACCTGTTGTGTAATAATGTTTAACTGATTGCTTTTATGCGACAACTTTTGTACATGTTTGGAGGTCCCGGCTTCGAGTCCTGACATGCCACCGAACTTGTGCCATTGAGAAAGGCACGTGCACTTTACACAACTTTTCTCACTTCGCTCAGGTGAAAATGAGTGCTAGTATTGTATTGTCTCCTGCGTTGGTGGCGGCATTAATATAAGTTGAAAAAAAACTTGAGTGTGTTCCCACCACGTCTTGTGATTACATGTTTTCTTCAATGCTTGTTTTCTAGCCTTCCCGGTACAGTTAGATCTTTTCTTTTTCATCACTAAAACTTCATAAAACTTTCTCCAACGTGTTCTGGATACATGCACTTTTTAAACATGTAGGTTTCACTAAATTTGAAAAACGCGGTGGTGCCAACTGCGCAGAGCCGGATACAGATATCGATCGGTAAGACCCACTATTTCTACTGTACTTTGTTTCTATGTTTGTCCAGGCTTTTCAGCGAGACACCTGTTACGTTGTGAAACAGAAAAGATGACATGATTTCAGTATAAATCGTCAGCCTCCTTAGCTCAGGGGTTAGAGCACTGGTCTTGTAAACCAGGGGTCGTGAGTTCAAATCTCACAGGGGGCTACAATTTTTTTTCTTTCGTTTCACGTTGACATTCAAAACGCATTGGACGTGCTTTTACCATTTGTTTTTGGCCTTTTTTGCGTTGAACTAGCTTTGTTGCTGAGGAAATATGCGAATACATAAAGGAGCCCGTGGGTCGCGAATTGGATGTTCTATTTAAGTTCTCTGGTATACTATCCCTTTATTTCGGCCAATTTCTACTATTTTTCCAGCGATCCGCGGTGCCTGGTAGATAGGGCTATGAAATGAAATGCCAGTTTATTTTAACTTAGCTCAAGGAGGTACCTACGTGCTGAGCTTTTAATGAGTCTTCTGCACTTAAAATGAAAATCAAAATAATTTTGAAAAAATCAACATACTCAATGTAAATAATGTTCCTGTGATATCATGCCAACACTTTATAGCGGCATGTCTAGTGCCTTTATGCATGTAGTGACATGATCTAGGGCAACTATGCTGCCCTTGCCGGCCCTGTCGTCTGAAATTTACGTCACAATGACGTCATACATACTAATGCAGCATCCTGGGGGTCGCGATGACGTCAACGCATCGATTTTCACCTCTCAAATGGGTTTGTTCTCAGCTGTTCGCGTGACACGGGCTAATCCTGTTTGGGTTTTAAAGGTAGGACGAGGATACAGGAATAAGCAGGCCTCCTTAGCTCAGGGGTTAGAGCACTGGTCTTGTAAACCAGGGGTCGTGAGTTCAAATCTCACAGGGGGCTATTTCTTTTTACTACTACCAAACTTCTTTTGAATTTCTGCACATTTCAAGTTATACGCGTTGTGTTGACACCTTTGCGCAAATGCATTTTCCTTGGCTTAAAACAGCACGCGCCTCCAACAACCAACACCGCTTTTGGAGTTTAAACCAAGGAGGTTTAAATCACTTTTATTCAACCTCCTTGATTTTAAACCTCCTTGTTAAAACCAAGGACATATATTTTTTTATATAGGACGTTTATCATATGAGGCCACAGCAAGAAAATTCGATGGATGACATCCTCCGCAGACTCCAAATCTAATGCTGTAGGGCAAAAAAAAAAACAATTTTCAACATATTTACCACTGTCAGAGGGCAACAAATTTTTTTTCCAAAATCAGGCGAATATTAATGTGTGCGCTGATATCATCCATAAAAATAACTTGTTGTGGCCTAACTAAAATTTATCATCCAAATGCAAGTCATACTACCATACATCTGCTTTCATAAAATACACTGTCAGCATCAAATCAGGTATATATAGAGGTATACACACAAAAACATAGGCATATCTGTTTACACAAAGCATGATTTATTTGTTACAAATCATAAAAATGTTTCTAATATAACTGTGTGCATGTCCAGTTCCAACTGGAAGCGTCAGCATTTAATACATGTCGGCTGATGTCTATCAGTGAAATGGAGCCAAAGATTTGGAATGCCTTGTAGCAGCCTTACACTGAATACTGAAAGATCAGACATTGCTGAAGGATACAAGTACATGTACTAGGTTAACAACACTGTGTTACTGTATCCCTAACAAGACCCAGTTTAGAGCCTGATGGGGGGGGGGGTATTGTTACTGTGTTAGCACTCATGATCGAAGCAGCTTTAAATACTAGTATACAGTGAGATGTACTTTATATTAAGTTGATTGCATTCATGGATAAAAGCAAGAGTTTCTTCATTTCACCATTGCACCTGTTACACTGAAGTGTGAGTGTGAGTCAGTGGGTCAGGGGGTTGGGGGGGAGAAACTTTGACAGGACAAAACCAAGCCTTCTATGGTACCAACACACAAAATATGGATGAAAGTTTATTCTGCTTCAAAAATTAAGTTGTCAAATGGAAGATTTGCTGATTGAGTTCACACTGTTGTATACCTGTCACTATGGAAGATTTTAAAGTAAACCTGACCTATGGAAGATTTTAAAGTATGTGATGTTTTAAGATGTATTTCACCATGGTAGAATACTAGTATTATGTTTTCTACTATAGTACAGTTTTAAATGTGCTTACGGAAGATACTCCTACAATCCCATATAACTGTAGTTTCATTGACAACTGTGGAACACAGATTGAGACTGACTTAAAACCTTGGAAGCTTTACTGTGGCTTGATTTCATGTAGCATATGATTAATACTGTGTTCAATCTTCACCTAAACAATAGAATAAAATCATGTATTACCTACCACCAGGGAACATAAGTTGCTGACACTGAGCACATATGCTGATAGTTTAGATGATTGACATATGCAATATACATCATTTGCGACTTGTTGAAAATAATACACTCTATGGAAAACATAAAGTTTGGTATGTTGAACTGCAATACACATTATCTGCACTGTAAACAATCATTCCTTAACTGCACAACAGAATTTTGTATTGCTAAGTAACAGTTTGAGTCCTGAAAATCCATTCTTGTTTCATGGTTTACCCATTTTCATGTCCATCAAAATGTGTTGAATGCACATACCTTCAGCAATGCAACCATTGTCTCACTTTTTAATGTTACTTTTCTCTCACTGTTTAATTAGAAAGATGTGACTTGATGCTGAACTACTTCGTGGAAGCCCCTTTACTACTGTAGTTGTGTACAAAACTGACCAAAATACAAAACTAGTACATACATTGTAGCTGCTTTCTGTAACTGTTTCTTGTGATATTTTGTTATGATCCAGATACTGTGATGATACTGAAAAAGCACACAAGTCTTACTCATGGCTACATGTTGACACGAACTAAGAAGTTAAACATGTAAGTACTTCAGCTTGTTAACTATATACCAGTGTACATGGGTTTGATTCCATTTGCCAATAGAAAATTTTGTATTGTCATGGTGCCTATCTATTTAAATAGCATGATAGACAATAAGTTTAGTTGGTGAAACATTGTTAATGATCTACACCCATTTCAGCAACCATGTGTGGAAGATGCATAAATACTTGCCAATTTTTAGTCTAAAATGTTTGCTATGTACAAGTTAAAATGGCAAACTTGGCAAGTTAGTCATTGTCATCAATATTCGTTGTTTATGTTAATACTGAGCTATGTAACATGAAATTTTTTGGGAAAGACATTTTCTCAAGTTAGAAACTTTTTTTGATTATCGCAATCCTTTGGTTAGATAAATTTTCCTTCTTAATTTCCTTCCTTTACACTTAAACGTTTCAAGACCAGTTATCCTTTTGTCATCTTGCCTTTTTCGTCTCCTTTCTGTACATTCTTCTGCGATGGTGTCTTTTCCATGTCTGAAAATAGATTCTATCTGAAGAACACCAGTTATATGACAATAATTTTACATGATCAACATGATGTGCCTTCATCGTTTTTTTTATTCCTAGTATTTTGTAATAAGAAATACATGTATAAGTAAATAACAACAATTTTTACACATGGGCTTTGTCAGTGCCAAGCTATAATGATAGGAATAGACAGGTTAATACCAATGTGAGATCGCAATATTTTGTACGACACCCAAAAGATAGGATCTTGTTTCAAAATTAAAAATCCTCAAAAATCCTTTCACACACCATTCTGACATAATCCAAACATAAGTACAAATGTATTCTTCAGTATGGATCCTAATAATCTAATTTGTGGTTAAAATGGTTTGTTACATCTCGAATTACTAGCTATTTTAAGCTCGAAAAGTTAGCATGACCATGGAAGTAGCATCATAAGTGATGTTGTGTAAAGCATGTACTATCCTAACTACACCAAAAGGGCTATGTTTATATGTGATGCTGGGAGCACAAGTTCTGATACCAGAGCAGGCTGACTAAACTTCACACGTCTCAGTATCCATCTACTGTAGAAGGAAGTTCTAAGTAGCGTTTAAGAGCATGCCCCTCTCGGACTGCCCTTCAGCACCCAACATAGTACGTCAAACAAAACTGAGATGACAGAGAAAAAAAATCAGCCGGCTAGAACCTTGCTATCAACAGACTGTGCACCCATACCCAGTGTATAAACAAAGCCCAGAGTCTACCTATCACTAGTAATTAGCTCCCCTCCTCTGGTGTTCCCCCCTTCTTGGACCCTTTCCTGAACCAGCTCTTCCCAGAGCTCTTCTTGTCCTTCTTACTGTGTCTCTTCTCTCCTTGTACGATGACTACCGGTTGGTCGTTGTCTCTCCCGAGAAAACCGTCCTCGCCACCCGCACCGGCGCATGCTGTGTGCGTGATGCAGAGTTGGAGGCATTCGAACGGGGCAGTGCAGGGCACAGTGTTGGAAAAGAAAAAAAAGGACACAAATCAAGTTTTGCACCTACATGTGTTCCTGAGTGTGATATACATGTAAGCAGCCTGAGTGTGCAGATTGTGTGTGGACTGTTCCTAGTAATATAGTATTATATAGTGAAAAATGCAAATGGTGGAAGTATGGTGCAGATATCTTTAGTGGTGTAACTGTAAAGAAGTGTGTGTGTACTTGGTGACAGTCAGTTGAAATAAGTGAAAAGCCATCATGTATAAAAATGAGCTTATGGGCTGATTTGGTGTGTTGAGAACAGACTGTTGCAAGTTTCAGATCTTCAGACTGAAGACAAGTGTGAAAGAGACCTAAAATTGTTACTGCTGAACTATAGAAAAAACATCTACATTACCACTTTCCCTCAATTATACCACATTAGAATACCACTGAGTGTCACTGCTTCTTGCATGGATGGACATGGTTTTGTGGTTTTATGTCCCAAAGTGCACTTATTTCTTCCCATCTTTCCATCTTCTCTTCACTTTTCTGTAAACTGCATTAAATTGTAATCCCACCTTCTCTTCTTCATTGTCATAGTTCTGTGGTTTTAAGCACCAAACTGTAACACTTCCACTACACGCTGTGCTAAATGCTTGGACAATATCAATTTAACTAACAGTCAAACCTGTACTAGTGACCACCTTTATATAAGGATAACTAGGCCACCTTTACTTAGTTGGTCCCTTAAATTATTTTCCACTGCTCTAAGCACTGAAAGTGGCTACAAGTCCACTATTTTTCAAGTCCTTTGAGTGGGCATTATATACAGGTTTGACTGCTCAAAACTATTAGAAGCATTAGCTAATTATCATGCATCATGAGCTAATATGAAATAAATGAGAGCCAAGTAATAAAACTGATGTAGTCTCGAGAGGAAAGCCAAGATGCCATCCTGATTGGTTCACCTCTGTTCCCATAGTAACTGTTGCCATGGTACCCATCAACAACTCAGTAACTAGGGGAAAAGACATTGAACTAACCACAATGGCACTCTGGTTTTCATTGAGAATGAAGACAGCCTACAAACATGGTTACATCTAGAGTGAGAAGAGCCCTGGCTTCTTGTGGGACCCTCTGCTGCCTCCGCGAGCTTGCAGGCTAGCTGAAGAGGTGGACACTTGCGGCGGTCTGGTCACTACAGAAGCCCCTAGATCCATATGAGGTGATGGTCTTATAGTCAGTACATGCATGCAAACAGAAATGAGGACAGGCTGGCCAATGCAGTCTCCTATCGAAGTTAGGAGCTACCTCAAAAGTTTTGTAGATATGAAGTACAGAAGGTACAGATGATATTGCTCATGTCATCAGCTTTTTTAGAAAATCCTTAGAAATCTACTTCAAGGATCATGGCAGGCTATGGTAATATTCTACACCTGCAAAATGTAGAGTTCACCAGTAGTCATAATGTTCTAGTGCAGAAAAATGTTAAGAAAATACATCCAATTTGGCTGATTTGTTATTTTGTGTTAAACATGAAAATGTAGCAAACTGCAATGACCAGCATGAATGGAAATGAAGACACAGAGAGCAAATCAAGAATCAACCAGTACACTATGAACCAGTGCTACATCCAGCAAAGAAATATAACAACTCTATCTGCCTAACATCAGCAAAAATACCTGTCTAAATTCAGAAGTCTAACTTCCCACTATATCAGTACAAGTTCTACCCCATATATACATGTTGTATTATCCACTGTGTGCTAAGCTCACAGTATAATAGACACAAGTTAATGGTGACAGTCAATAAGTTAATAAAGTCAAAATCTACATAAGCACGACAACATGGGCATTAGTGGATAATGACCATTGCTATTATGCTCTCTGTGAACTAAGAAGCTTAACAGCAAGTTAATGTGAAGGGCTACATACACATTAAGTCTGGTGTGTCTACACAGCTGCCATGCTCTTACTTAAGTCTTACAGCAATAGATCTTCTTGGAGGCAGCTAACAGCTATTAGAGCTAAAATGAGAAAAGAGAGTGTGAGCCAGATGCATGAACATGGTAGCACAAGTTGTGAACAGTTGGAAGTAGAGGAAGAAAGTTTAGGATTTGAGGCAAACAATGTGACTTACAAGTGATGTAATACGTGATGAATATACATGTAATACTGTATTGTGTTGTAAGTTACAGAGTTTTCACATAGCTCTTGTTGTAAGCAGTGTTAGGATGTGATGGTAATTGATTTTAGAGACATGGTGGCAGAAAGCAAGTCTAATAACTATCGTGAGCAGAAAGCTATTAAAATTGTCTGACAGGCACACACAAGACAGACGATCAATGATGTGATACAATCCCATGCTTGATCAAAGAAAAATCAATGGAATGAAACACTAAAATATACCATGCACTGTACATTACCATAGTGAAATCAAATATCCACAAACCTTCAAGAAGTATTAATTCTTGCTAAA